GCAGGTCCGGTGGTGCTGGAGGGTTGTTTGATGGAAAGACTTCAGTGAGGCCTTGCTCTGCAGAGGCAGAGGAGGAAGATCTTCAGAGTGGAAGATGAAGGTGATAGTGCATCCAGAGCATCCCTGTGCTTGAGTACCACCAGGCATCGCTGCATTTTTAGCGTTCAGCAGAAGTGCCGTGGGAGTTGAATTTTGCCTTGTCATGCAAAAGTTAAAAATAGTTGCACTTAATTCAGCATTTAAGCTTTTCCTCCTGCTTTTGCACTCACGTCTCAGCCAGGAAGAGCCTTCTTACAGAGATGTGCCAGTTTTTATTAACGACACTTTGCCTTTCTGTACTGCCTCCTCCTTCTCTTTGGCCTCTCAGCTTTGCTGTTACTCCACAGATCCCAAAGCCCGGAGATGCGCCAGCAGCCAGGGGAGCACAGGTTTTGGGTGGGGATGCAGACCTGGATTCTCCTCCCTGCCTCCTCATAAACCTGTCGTACGACATCAGGCTGACACCGTCGCTTCTGTCCTTTCTAGGCATGGAGCGGTCAAGAACGAGGACACCTTCAAGACCTCCCCATTTCATTTTGATCTGTGGTTCTACTTCACTCTGCAGAACTGGGTGCTGGATTTCGGGCGTCCCATTGCGATGGTGAGTGCGGCAGGGTGGAGGGCAGGGGGGTGGAGCTGTGGTGGTCCCCTGTAGACCCGTGGGCTGTTTTCTACACCGAAGGGACACCTTTGAGGAGCTGTCCTTGAGATGAGGACCGCTGCGATTTACTGGTGTGAGTAACTGGTACGAAACGTGTTGCTCCAGTCACGGGGAAGGTATCTGGGAAACTTGTTCCGTGTCATCTATCCCACAACTTCATGTTTTTGTAACAAAAGTTACCTGGGGAGGTTCCAGCCGCAGGTGGCAGAGGGTTAACGGAGATCCAGTGCTGCAGGACTCCTGACTGCCTTCCTTGCTTGCTTGGCCACATGTTAATAAATGGATTTGTTGATCGATACGTTAAAATTTGTTAATTTGTCGATAGGTAAATCTATTAATCACACGACTTCGCGGCATCAGCTTGGGGCAGCGCCGCAGGAGCGGCTGGCCGAGGTGTAAATACGCTGTGGGTTTAGCACCCACTGCCAGATTGGGCTTTTAGGGATGCTCACTGCAAGGAAAGCTGCCCAGCTTCGTTTCTGACAGCTACGTGAAGTCAAGTTGACCGTTAGCAAGCAGCAAGAGTCCACAGCAAGGATTTCCTCCCTCCTTGTCTTTCAGCTAGTTACGGGGCTGTAATCACAAGCTGGGTGGTGTGGATACACTGATGTGCTTTTCCTTCCCCTCCTCAGATAATCCTACCTTTGGAGTGGTTTCCTCTAAACAAACCGAGTGCTGGAGATTATTTCCACATGGCTTACAATGTCATCACGCCATTTCTTCTGCTAAAGGTAAACCTCGAGGTGCAGGTGTCACTTTTTTTTTTTTTTTCATATTACCAGTTGTAAAAACAGGGCAAACAATAGTTTTATAAAAGCTGAAAGTTTCTTAGGAACTTGTTGAACAAACGTTGGTCGCTCTCAGACTCCTGCAAGTGAGCTGGCCCAACTGTAAGTTAGAGGTTTGCTACTCTGGAAAGAATTTGTGATGCCACCGTTTAAAGACCATCGTAATACAACTCAATTTCCTGCATTAACAAAGCAAACCGCTTCCCCTGGGGTCTCCAGATTCAAGGGAAGTCAGAGTCCTTCTCCCTGGCTGAGCCAAAGTGTATTTTTAAGACAACATCCATCCGTGACTTAAAAGACCTTAAGAGACAGCTGGAACTGTAACAGATTTTCTAAATTGTTCACTGCTTAATTACACTTGCTCTTCAACAGCAGAATTGTATCTTTAGCTTGAATTTATCTAGCTTCAGCTGCCAGCCACTGGATCGGGTAAACCATTTATGAGGTTAAAGACTGTCGTATCATTAGAAATCTTCTTCTATTAAATAGTTAGCAGCCAGAAGATATGAGAAAGCAATTATAAATGTATTTTAACCTTCATTAGTTAGAAATTGAATTATGTCCTAAGATGTAAATGATTCTTTCTCTCCTGAGTCTGTCTGGGAGATTTTTAAACGCCAATGTGGCCAAAAAGGAATATCCAGGACCCGGGTCCTTTGGGGGATGTGAAAGCTCTGACGCTCGGTCTCTCCCATCACAGTCTGACACAGCTGATTTCTGCAGGCTGCGTACTCATCGGGGTAAAATTTGCCGTCTCGGACTTCCCTGGCAGCCCAGCATGAAGGGTTGGTCCACAGAAAGAATCCATTTGTTATTCAGGAGACATTTCTGTCGCCCAGTGTCCCCTCAAAGGACGTGTCCCACCGTCCTCCATCAGACCAGAGCTTTCCTGGACCTTTTGCTCTCCTCGTCCTCTCTGACTCCTCTGACGTTCATACAGCAGTTACAGAGAAAGGGAAAGTTAAGCCTCAAAATTAAATGCAAATAAGGAGCTTTTCAGTGTTTATGAAGGGCTGCAAAGCTGATTTGGCAGCAGGGAGATGGGAGGCGAAGGTGGCCTCAGCTGATCCTCGGGCTGGGCTGACGCACCACCCTTTGCCGCGCTTCCCGAGGCCAGCTTGGCGTCCCCTCCAAAGCCTGAACCACTTGAGCTGGGATTTACGTCTTTTGAGGTCTTCCCCACTTTGCAAGCTCCTTTCCGGAGAGAAGCTCCTGCTCCTCATCCCCAGCTGGGCTTGCAGGAGCTCGCCCCAGGCTGGGAGTAACGCCGGGCTCCCCGCCAGCCTCACATGCCTGCCTCCACCCTCTACACGGGATGGTACAGGGAGAGCTCATCACTAAAGCTGGTGCTCAAAAGGTTGCCTCAACCAGTTTTGCTGGTAATTAGATATTTCTAGATAGGGGTTGAAATGCAGCTTCCTCTTAGAAGCAAAGAGAGAGAGGGAGGTGAGTCCAGTTCCATTAGGAAGAAAGAAAAAACAGAAACCCCAAAGAGTTCAACAAGAGTCCTTTGAAAATCATCCAGGGGAGAATTCTAAAGGAAGCAAGTGTCTCTTAGGCAGGGGAGTGAAGAGGGTGTGCCCAGCTGGAGAGCTGCTGGAGGCTCTCCCTGCCACTGGAGGGCACAGCCAGCCTGCAGAGCCGCTCAGCAGAGGAACCAGAGAAAGCAGCTGCCTTTTTCTTTCTCATTAATGAGTTTTGTTCACATCTGGTGAAGAAATTGCTTCAAGTACTGTGTTAGAAGTACTAGGTCACTGATTCGGTCTAAGCGTTGACTCAGGTTAAGGATGCTGCTTTGCAGAAAGTTTTAATAAGGGCAAAAAGCATGGGTTTATTGTTGCAAACAGGCATAAAGTGTGTGCTCAAACCTGAAAGCCACGTAGGCTGGTGGGAACGTGTCTGAGATGTGTTTAGGGAAAGTAGCTGCAATTGGGGAAGCTCTTCTGGTGCGGTGGCACCACTTTCCCCAGGGCAGGGGACTGTTTTCCGCTGCAGGGTGCCAGCTGTCGCGGGCAGCAGCTCACACCAGCCACAGCAGCGCAACCTGCAGCTTTCTGCATGGTTTTTGGATGATTTTTGCAAAGCACCGTAAAGTCAGAGAGAGCAGAACTTGTCACACATCTCTGCCAGTATCTCCTCGTGCTGTTCAACACGTCTCTGTGTTTTTAGCTCATCGAGAGATCCCCCAAGACCTTACCGAGATCAATGGTCTACGTCAGCATCATCATGTTTGTCATGGGAGCCAGCATCCACTTGGTCGGAGACTCCGTAAACCATCGCCTGATTTTCAGTGGCTACCAACACCATCTGTCTGTAAGAGAGAATCCCATCATCAAGAACCTGAAGCCAGAGACACTGGTAAAGAGGCTCTGTTTTATACAAGCACTTTAAAAAAAAAAAAAATATTAATTGCTTGTTCTTATTGAATAGCACCCTGTTCCCTCTGCCCTTTTAAATCCCTTTTCGTTGCATTGCAGATTGATTCCTTTGAGCTGCTGTACTACTACGATGAGTATCTGGGTCATTCGATGTGGTAAGCAATTTACAGACCGCGTAGCGGCCGTGGATCGTAGCACAAGGGAGGGCAGATCCCATCTGATCGTAGCTTAATACGTGAAAAAATAAAAGGCAGCTGAGGAGAGCTGGCTGGGGATAATGTCCTCGCAGCCGAGGTGATTACACAGATCTCTGCTTTGGAAAATGGCCCGTTCCCCCCAGTTTTGGCTCTGTCTCAGGGGTGTTTCTGGGACGTGGTGGCTGTTTGACAGCCGTAGGGGACAGAGGAACGGCTCGTCTGCTCTGGCCCCTAGGCCACCTTCCACGAGATACTCGGGAGACACATTACAGCGCAGGTCCGAGGGCGCTGCAGGCTCCTGGCTGTCACCACCCAGTTTTGCTCCTCTGGAGGTTGATCTCAAAGCAGCTCAGCTCTGCCCAGTCTCTCTTGCCCTTTGCTCGCTCCCTCCTTTACCATACATCCATTTAGTGACCCCCAGCAAGAGGGAAGGGGGGTCAATATTCGGCCATGGTGATCCAGGGAGCTGAGTCAGGGTCTGATTTCAGTGCCCTCACCCCGAGGCGACCCTAGAAACGCTCGTTCCAGCCAGACAGTGTGGTTCATCCAGCGTGGCTGGCTCTGGGGGCAGGTAATGCTGGTGGTGCCCACTGTGGCAGGTCCCATCACCCTCCTGCCCACATCAGCAGCACCCAGTGCTGCAGGCATGTCCCGTGTCCTGCTGCTCTGCCTGCACCAAAGACCCCAGAAAGGACTGTCTGGCCCTTTATCCGCAGCTAGATAATCCTGAGATTGCTCAGAGCGGTGGGAAATCTCTCCCCCATCAGGCTTTCCTGGTTTATTTGCTGTTTCTTGAGTGCTGTCAAGCAGGCAAATCCTGTTCTTTTCAATAAAAAAAGCCTCTGTTTAGTTGTGGAAATCCTGCTCCACGTCCTGCTCTCCTGCAGTTCAGCTTTTAACGCAACACACCGCTCCAGAACAGCCTCGTAGATCCGAGCGTGTGACAAACGCAGTTTTTCGACGGAGCACTCGAGCCCAGTCTTTGCCCTAATCAGCAATCCCAGGCTTTTCCTGGGAGAGCCCCAGAAGTCTCATCATCTACAGGAGCCCTGGGTGCAGCCGGAGCAGATGACAGCCCTGCAGCAGGCACCGCCGGCCCTGGCATCGTGCCGACACAGCAGTAATGTCACAGCAAGAGTGGCGATGCTGGCAGAGGGGGGGATGCCCTGACCCCACAAAGCCGGACCCTGCACCCCACTTACCCACGGCTTTACCTGCCTGAGCACACGTGGCCAGAGCTGGGTGCCCTCCTCTTGTCCTTCACCAAGTTAATTCCTGAGCTCAGCATAGGAATTGCCTCTGTGCATGGTTTGGATTTGGGGGAGGTGGGTTTAAACACTTTCCAGGGTCACGCCACCGATCAGTGGGTTGCTTCTGTTTGCAGGTACATCCCTTTTTTCCTGATACTGTTTATATATTTCACTGGCTGGTTTCCCCCCGTTGAAGAGGAGGGCC